TCTATTTTTCATAACATAATATGATTCTGTTTATCCAGTTGGTATGCTAGCTGCATGCCGCATTAGGCACCCAATTAGGCCACGAGTATCTAAAACTCAATGTGTCCCTGTCACTCCTGCCATGAACCTGGGAGTTCTCCTTAATTCTTTACTCCCCTGAGGTTTCCTCTCAAGTTCCATGCCCATTCGTCCTCTGAAATCTAATTCATTATCAAGTCCTGCTCATTTCTAGCTCCTAAATACCTCTCAAATCCACAACACCCTGTTATTTCCACTTCCTGAGTTCAAGATTCACGATCTTTTCCTCAGCCATTGCCATAGCTCCAGGATTTGTTTTTCTGCTTCTACTCTTGCTTTCCTTCACTCCATCTACCACACTGCCATCAGAGGCAGCTTCAAAAAATGCAAATCTCATCATATTAGTTCTATGGTTAAAGCCTCCAGCTTCAGAATAGATGCAAACTTCTAGGCATAGCATTTAAGGTCCTTCAAGATAGATCTGCTTATGGTCTCATTTCCTTACTTCCCACATCTCCAACATACACTCCCTACATTCTAGCCATAGCAATTATTTGTATTTCCCTTTGCTACCTTAACAATGATTTGCACTACCACTTCGACCTCTAAATACCATTTGGAGAATCATCTGACTCAAGAACAGAAACTCATTCCCCTTAACTAACTGAGCTGGATAGGTCAGTTAAGAGTGTCATCCTCATGCACCAAGGTTGTGGATTTGATCTCCAATCAGGGCACATACAAGAAACATCCAATGAATGCATGAATAAGTGGAACAACAGATGCATGTTTCTCTCTCTCTCCCTTCCTCTCTCTCTCTCTCAAATCAACAAAGAAAACAATTGAAATAAATAAATAAGGAAAAAGAACGGCAACTCATTGTTTAAGACACATCTCATCTCACTTCCTCTAGAAGCCTGTCTCCACATCTGTGTGTCCCCTTTCTTGGGCCCCATAGGGTAGAATGGACCACTCTTACCTTTGTTCCCCCAATTATACTCTGAACATACTTGTATATATAGTTCATATTCTACTTCATTCTACTTATTTGTTTCTGTTGCTGCCTTCCTTGCTCACTCCAACTTTGCCCTCACCAAGTTAACATTGTTATAAATACAAAACATTTTTTATTCCTATATTTTTACCACATCACACATTGCTGTGTTCATAGAAGAAATTTTACAGTGAAGATGAATATTTTTCAAATAATTTGAACACTATAAATTCAGATATAATAAAAACCTGCATCAAACATAGTTTACCCTTACTTTCTTTACTTGTGCTTGTGCCTTAGTCTAGTTGTTTGAATTACAATAGTGTTTAAAATTTGGACGAATGAGAATTTACTCCATCTCTTTCCTAGCTGATGTAACCACCAAATCTTTATAGAAAAAACAATTGAGTGTTTCTGTGAAATAGTCGATTTGCAAGCCAATACATTCAGGGTATTCGGAAAACCAGCTATCTGGCACAAATTGAAAGCTACTGGCCAATGAATAACAAAATGTCTCAACATCTTGCACTAAAATGCACATATAGGAAAACCCATCTCTTAGAACTCTGTGTTCTAAACTTACAACAGATTATGAACAGAAAATTAAAATGAGAGAAAGGGCTACAGGCAAACCTATCAGCTATAGCAAGAAATGACAGCTGTTAGCCAGGGAGGAGACATAAAATTGAAAACAGCACTTCTAAGACCTCAAAAGGAAAAGTTATCTAGAACAAGTTAGGATAGGGGGTGGGGGAAAACCCCAGTAAGCTGTACCTTAACTTGTGTGTGAACATTGCTGAATTATTCTATACAGGTAGTATGTGGCATATAGAGTATAGTCATTATTTATGTTAATGAGTACTTTTTAATTAAAATTATGTTTATTATATTCTAAACAACAAAAAAGGAATGGTACAAAACATTTTAGAAATTTTCCAAAATTAGTAATTTCATAAACTGCTTAAATCTTATCTATCCAAGATATCCAGAGTAACCCATTCTTAAGCCTTTATTCCATTTGAATAAATGTTAGTGAAAGGTACCATTCATTCAATAACCGTGTAAATTCTATACATGCCACCCTCTACACTAGAGCCTATAGGATAGTTATTATTATCCCCACTGTACAGATGAGAAAACCAAGGCCCAGAAAGATCAGGGAAATCAACCCAAGGTCACAAAGCTAGTAAGCAGCTAAGTAGAGATCTGATATGTCATACTTTCATTCATGTCATCACTGAAAATTAAATGACTAAGAATTCATGAGTATTTAGTAATAAATTGATCATAGGAGTTCAACTTGAATATTTGCCTTCAATTCACAAATCTGTGTATCATGATTGAGTTTCTTTTCATGGTAAAAAAAACATTTGAAATAATTGCTTCACCAAGATAACCTCAGCCAAAGCAGAATCATGCAGGATGAAATATTTCTTACATGAAGCCTTGCATGTTTGCTAATAGAGTTCTAAGCATTTGTGAAGTAAACCGTTAGAAAAAAGCGTGTGAAGTTGTTGCTATTTCTCCCAGGCGGTCAGGAGGTGAGCAGATTTTTAGTCAGGCTCTAATAAAGTCATAATTGTCTACAAATAGCAATGATTCTTCTAAATGAAGACTCCAGCAATAAACTCAAACAGCTACTAGCTCTAATACATTAAGGGAAGAAAATTCCATAAATTTGAAGGCAATTCTAATTTTAAAAATAGAGTAATATTAGCATTTTAAACTGTGAGTGTAATACTTAAAACACTAGAAATGTCCCCAAGAGTTATTTATGTAAGGGCTTTGTTCTTGAAATTCATTACATTATTCCAATAAAGACTAAAGAGGTTATTATCTGTAAATTATTTAGGGGCAGGAGTTAGGCTTCAGCCAGGTGTTCTGTTTATGCAGATGGCAAAATAAATTATTCAGAAATAGAGACAGGTAAAACAGATGGAAAAGCAGAGTAAACTAAGAAAGGCTTGGGCAGCTGCTTAATAGGCCCCCAGTAAAACACCCAGTTCCACGTCATGGTCCAAGTCACCTAGTGAGGAAGAGTTCTAGGGCCACACACTGCAGCCCACTTCTCCAAAACGCCTTTGGGACTTTGCACTTACTTCTGTGATGTTGTATTTAAAATACATCATAAAAAATTCTCCATGGAAACAAATAACTTAATGTAAATAGGAAAATATTCCTGAGGGCATTTTTCCTACCAGATCAGAGAGTGAATTGCATTTCCAAATCACTTGAGGCTTTTTCAAAAGTAATTCTTACAGCCCTGATTGGTGTGGCTCAGTTTGTTGGGCTCTGTCCTCCAAACCAGAAGGTTACCAGTTCCATCCCCTGTCAGGGCACATGCCTGGGTTGCAGGTTCAGTCCCCAGTCAGGGTGTACATGAAAGACAACCAGTGGATGTTTCTCTCTAACATTAATGTTTCTCTCCCTCTCCTTCTCCCTCCCTTCCCCTCTCACTAAAATAAAAATAAAAATTAACTTAAAAAAGGGGGGATTCTTACATTCTATGCAACAAGAACTATATACATATACTATCTTCCATAAACTGATGGAGTTGTCTTTAAGACCCCCTTTTAACTATTAACATCTGTCTCAATTCACTGATTCACTGACTCAACCCCTATCCACAAAGAATGTGGAAAGATCTTTTTGGTAAATTATGCACTAGCAAGAGTTTTATACTGGTGGGCTATTGTATAATGTGGTGATCTGCTGAAGAAATTCTGGGAAGTAACCTGCTTACAGAAATGGACCATTAAGGGAAAAATGGCTCATTTAAATTGGCTCAGCCCATTTAATAATGCAAACAAATTAATGACTACCCACTTGAGGGAGGAGGTCAATTCAGGCACAGGAAGAAATGCTCAAAGAAAGGACAGCAGCGTGCCCTGGAGTGAGGCACTCTAGCCCCAACGCCAGGAGATATGGCTTCTAGTCTCAACTCTGCCTTAATCTGGCCTTACAAACGGGGTGTGTTAACCTCTCTCAGTACTGGTGTTTCTAATGACTGAAGGAGGTCAGATCGTCCTGAAATCCTTTAAGCTCTTGTACCCTACAAGTCTGCACGGATTTGGAAAAGAGATGGCAGTGAAAGGAAGTTAAATCTAAGGCTACACATCCATAAATAAAAGCACTTAAAAAACATCTTGTCTATATCTTGTACTTTCATTTTTAATCTAATTTGTAAGATTTAGAGCTATTATTTCAGAGGGCAACTTTTTAGAGATCAAAAGAGAAAGGCTATGATGTAAGCTAAAAGATTCAATCTTCTGAATGATTTTCATGATGTGGATATTTGGTACGATGAAAACTAACCATCAAAAAAATGGACTGAATATTTGACTTTCATTGCCCAAAAAACATGTTTAAACCTGTTTCCAAAACACATGCCTAAATCATCACTGAAGCATTTCAAAGGTTGGTTATTGAAGATGCTATCTTTATTGACATTGCCATTTTGTCTAAACTTCATCCTATCAATTACCATTAACCCTGTCCTTGTCCTGACACTATCTAAACTAAATTTGTCTGACTTCATTCACTCAAAAAAAAAGTTTACTTTTCCCACGTGGATTGAGAAAGGGTCATCACTGTTCTAGAGGAACTCACAATCTAATGGGGGAAGCAGAAAAGTAGGCAAATAATTACAATTCAATTAGATGGACTATGATTCTTGTTCTGCCTTCTCAGTGTTGGCCTGAGACCCATTTTACCTGTATTGCCCTTTTCTTAATATTTTTCTTTAAATAAACTTGCTACTATAACCTAACATGCTTATGTCAAAACTACATTTTATATCATCTCTATATGTGAAAATCAGTAGCAATTGTCAAATATATACATATATAAAACCACTAAAGTAAATATATTGTTGATGAGTGTCCTAAAAACAGCTTATTGTGGAAAGAAACAGATTTGCACTTCAGAAAGTTAAGCTTTCAATTTGGTTTGGAGTATTAATTGAACAGGTACTGAGACTATAAAAGTAGAGGTTAGGACCCAAATAATGACAGTAACTGTTGACATAGAGATAGAGAGAATCACTTGAGCATCTGTACAGGGGGCAAGTCAGCAGGACTTTGGGCATGACTTGGTTGTGGGGAATGAAAGAAAGGCAGGTGTCAAGGATGATCTCCAGGTTTCTGTCCTGGGTGACTGAGTGCAGTCAGGTATCAGCTTCCTGGATGCTTCTGGTACCTGCAATGTTCAGTGGATCATTAAAGGTCCTTATCTGCACCTGAGAGGTTTACTGATGAGATATTATGGCATTAGTTTCACTGTGCACTCCCACATGAGTCAGTTTAGCAAAATAGCTGTATGGACATTGGTTTGTTGGGGCAGGAAGACAGACCAAATCAGGTAACTTAAGCCATGAAGTAGACCCCAAACTACACTTTGCCCCTCTGAAAAACTAAATGCACTCAAAGACTTTATACCGAAGCAGTCTCAGATGGCCTCCAGGCTCAAGTCTAAGCTCACTTGACTGGCTAAAAGAAAATAAAAATCCAATGTCTGAAGAAATAATGTAGTCCTTGACTTGCTCATTCCCCGTTTAAAAAATGTTGCAAATGATGAGGAACAGATGGAAAAATTGTTGATACTTCAGATAATGTCACTGGAAGCATGTCCCCATGCTTCAGATGTGGCCTCCACTTGTGCTGCCTCAGTCAATAATGGATGTTCCTGAGGAAGGAAGCAAAAGGATAAAAATACCTAATTACTAGTCAGCACAGCAAGAACAGCCACGCTGACCTGTTAACAGGATGAGGACCCTGTACGGTTGCTCTTTGCTGCGTGATCAAACAGGTTATTAACTAGGCATTCTTCAGGGTAAAAGCAAACCCGTCAAACACATAGTTGCTTCAGTAAACTGACATATACATTATGAGACACATTATGCATACTCTTAAGGTAATTACTTTCATCATTACAAAATCATCATTTATCTTCTAGGTAGGGCATACTAAAATTTGGAGATTCAGAGACATGATTGATTAAGTAGGCTGGAGCGTCAGAATCCGAAAAACACTAAGATTGCCTAAATGTTTAGGATCTTGGACCGTTTAAAGTACTTTTTAGGTAGAGATGGTATCCAGGAAAAATAAATAACAGGCACAAGTGGAAAGTAGCCAGGGTGGGGAGGAAAACATGAAGGTGCTGATGTCTAATCCATTTCACACTAACAAGAAGCAGTTCTCCTGAATGTCTCCTGGGCGCGCATCCAGCTTTTAGCCATTGAATTCAAACATATATCTACCCTTTAGGAAGGCCAGCGCTTATACCTCTGCCCCAGGCAGTCTTCTTTCACATGTGGCTCTAATGGCACTATTGAGAAAACAGCTCAAAGTGCCACAGATACTGATTCAAGGTCAAAGCATCATCTATCATCTTTATATAGAAAACACAATGCATTAAATTTTTTCAATGTACCTATTAATTTCTATAGAGAGTTCTTAGAATTTCACTGTGACAAAATAGACACTTCACCATTAAGGAAAGAATGATTTTCAAGCAAATCTTTGATCTGGGAAAATCATTCTGGTTCAGTGAAAGAGCTAGTATGCATATGTTTACAAAAATGCAGCTAACATTTAAACACCTCTTCACAGAATCTCACTTGAGAAAGGGTGGCTCAAAATGGCTAATCAAAAACATTTTCTTCCTCTAGAAATTGCTTTTTAAAGAAAGCTAAACACAGAGGCCACCAATTTTTAGCACTGACATAATTCAGATGCTTTTCTTCTGCAGGAGGCAGGGGAGGTCTGTCTCTGTGGCGCCTGTGGCTGAGGAGCAGGAGCTGGGAAAAGGAGTGTCATTCAGGTATGCCCAGAGCAAGAAGAGGAACACCCTGGAGTACTCAACCGATGTCTTCAATCCTTGTAAAACTGTGTGGTCTATAGAGCATAACCATATCAAATGTAATATCATAGTGACAATCCTTGATTAGGTTAGACAGGTGCAAAAGCTATGCTGGATTATGTCCGTTCGTTCTGTTTAATGCAAGTGTAAGATCCTACTACAGCTACCCAGTGCTAAAGGAAAAGATACAGAAATAAATAGTACAGAGTCAACGACTCTCAAAGACAGATGTAAAGACACATAATAGTAAGAGATGCTGAATATTTGAATAAAAGTATTTATGTTCAGTTCTGGAACTGTGTTAGTGAGTCCAATCTCAGTCTGGAGCAAAGAAAGAAGTATTTTAAAACTCTCTCTATGAGCATTAATTTGCTTAAGCATTTAATCATTCATTCAGCAAATATTTATTGAGTATCAACTGCAAGGGCAAAAACAAAATCCCTGGCCCAGGAACGCTTCATTCTAGTGAAAGGGGACAGACAAGAAGCAAAAAATACATAAATACATATTTTTTTCCAGCTGGTGACAGTTCTATGGGAAAAAGTAATGGGGTAAATGGGCTGGAGTTTTAAAGGAGCCCAGGTGATTAGAATGGTTGAACATTTTACTACTGTGTCAAACAGGGTGTGAGAGTAAACCTAGCTGATGAGACCTGAGCAAAAAGGAGGTGGTATTGAGCAGGACCTGTGGGTGTGGAGAGAAACTGTTCGAGACAGCCAGTGCAAAGGCCCAGAGACCGCAGGGAGGTCCGTGCTGCTAGATCAGAGTGAGCAGAGAGCAGAGTGGTGGAAAATCGGGTCAAAGAAATAACTAAAATATACATGCTGGGTTGGAGCATCTTTACTAGCAAGTCACCACCTTAATATTATGCCATGTATTTATATGAATCTTTATTATGCCTAATAGTAAAACAGTAGGTGATATAAATCACAGAGGATATGACTAGAAGGTTTCACAGGAAAAGTAATTATACTAAAATTAATATTTAAATCTCTGACAACCTAGTCACACCACATAGAAGGTTTGACTGAGGAATAATGATTAATAAAAATCAAAAGAAAAATATTAATAAAATGTAATGCCAACTTTCAAGAGACTCACGGTCCATAGATTTTTTTAACCCTCATAAAAATCTAATAAATGAAGTATTCGTGCCCCCAAATTCACAAAGAAACTGATGTAAGAAATGTGCTTTAAATTATATATAGGATGGACAAGCCAGAATTTAAACCTAATTTTTTAAAATTTCTAAATCTTGTGATTTTTACCTGAAAAAATGCTGTTTATTTAAAAACATCATCTTTTCTCTTGGCTTTACCTTTGTAGAAACTGATGTAAGCCAATTCAGTTTTAAAGAAATCCACATAAAATAGAACTATTTTATAACTAACAGGGGTTTCTTCTTTATAGAAGAGAACTAAAGCCAGATGCTTTTAATTGTGTCTATAAGGTCTTCAGTATTACAGTTTGATATTGTAAAAATAAAAAAGTCCTTGCATTGCATTCAGAAACACTCACAATTTATTTGAGAGAAGTCCATTTAGCTTGCGACATCAGAAAAAAGAAGTGGCAAGTCTAACTCTCTGGCAATTTTCATTGGTGGAACGATCTATATAGAACAATCCCTTTTCAAACATTTAAAACCAAAAACTAGCAGAATCCCACTTCCCCATTAGTTTTTTTAAAGTCCCTAAGAACTAATTTTTAAATATAAAAAATATTCAATAATTCTTTCCTAATATTCTATCCTGTCCCACAGAGGATGTGGTTGGAAGGTTTCAGAAGAAGAGCAAGTACAGAGAGAATTAATAATGGAGGTAGATCTTTCTTAATGAGCTAATTTCCAACAATTAATATCATTGCAAGACTAAAATATACGTAAGGTTAAAATTCACCTTCTAAGTGCATCTGTGCATCTCCTTCTTTCACTCTGATGGGGCGGGGTTGCCTCAGGGAGAAGATAGTGGGGAAAAAACACCAAAAAAAAAAAAAAGCCTTCTTGGATGTAACTGTTCACAACTGATATGATACAGCTCCTTCCTTGAAGAGCTGAAATTTCCCCTGCAGTTAAAAGATGTTCCTGTCTTCTTTATCATCCTTTGTAATCAGATAAGTAAGTGAGATCACAAGTGTCATGTCCCAACCCGAGGCAGTATCATGCTGAGCAAAAAGCTTCTTTCTTTGCTCTAGCTTGCCATATGCATTTTCACATCACCAGGTTCTTTACTGCTTGAAAAATTAACACTGGTGAATCCCCTTAATTGGCCCTGACTGGCTGAACTCCGGAAAGGTGCCAATTATACAATCTTCCTGATTTTCAAGGTTTACAGAGTACACATTGTCTGAGAGACCGTCACATTTTATTTTCTGATTTACTTTCAAAGGTGTATACCAGTAAGCAATAAAAATTTTCAGGCTATTTTAATTAAGGGATGTTTGATTCATTAAGCTGTTACAGTTCAGAATGAAAAACAGTGAAGGACACATTAAGCAGGAATGGGAAGTGTAGACGAAATATTCTCTGGGGAAGAGAAGACTCGAACTCTGGTTGTCTCAGTTGTCAAGTTGGTGATGGGGTGACGACGGTGAACAATGACCTATCAGAGCTCCTCCAGACCTGAGACTGCTAAAGATAAGCTAGCCGCTGGGGGCCCTCCCGCTCAGATGTCCAGGTGTGCCTTTCATCTGTGGCTTCCTCACTAAGCGACGTTGAACTGGTTCTCTCAGTCCCTGTTCTAGAGTTTCTGGAGAAGATTGCAGTTCAATGGCAGTGCCATTTATCATAGTAAGCTATCTACCTAGAGATTTTTTGTCATTCAAAAGACTTCCTAAGATGGGTATGTGCTTCTTGCTAACTTTGGGAAGATGACACATAAGAATAAGCCTAATATTTTAATGTTTTATTCCTCCAAATGTAAATATAGACATACTTGTATCTGTTACCATTTTAAACCACTTACATGATTTCAACCATTTAATTTTAACATGTGCTTGTCTCCAACTGCTTCAGATATGACAATGTTCTAGTGCCCCATTCTCTGACATTTTCCACAAATTAGCCTTTTTGGAATAAAGGTGTACGACTGTGAGGACAGTTTAAGTTTGGTGGTACTCCTTAAAACCACAACTGTCTCAGAAGAGGGGGAAGGGAGAATACATGGGGATGGAAGGAGACTAGACTTGGGGTGGCGAACACAAAATACAATGTACAGATGATGTAAAATTGTATACCTGAAACCTGCATAATTTTATTAACCAATGTCACCCCAATATATTTAATTTTTTTTAAAAAAAACAAAAGCTTGTTTTTCTAATGAGCTTTCAGTTCCCTTGTCTTTCCAATGCACTGGTTCAATGAAGTCAACTCTGCAATCCCAGGGAAGTGTCAGATTTTTGCTATCTTCTTTTAATTGATTTTGAAGAATGGCTTATATAATTTAAGTGGACAGGTGTTTTGTGGATGTTGTTATTGTTTTTGTTTTGGGTTTTGTTTTGCTTTTTGCTATTCTTATTAGTTTCTCGTTGTATTGCTTTGTGTTCAGGAAATATGGTTTGTATGACTTCTGCTTTCTGCAATTAGCTGAGATTTTCTTTACACAATTATACGGTTAGTCTTCTGTGCTATATGTGTTTGACAAAACAGTATATTCATTGTTTTGGGGGTACAAAGTTAATTACTAAACGTGTTAATAGTGTTACTTAAAACTCTAGATCCTTTCTTGTTTTTTGTCTAATTGTTCTGTTTAATTTCTAGGGAACTGTCTCCCACTGAGATCAGAAATTGATGGGTTTTCCTTTGTACTTTTAACAGTTTTTTTATTTAT